TGCAGGCACTTCTGGGTTTAATAACCAACGGCTGTCTGAAGTTCCTTAACTCTGGTGCTTAGCTACACGCAGAACGGCATTTTGCACATGTTGGACAGAAATAAGAGAATCAAGCCCCGGCCAGAAAGGTTCCAGAACTGCAGAGATCTGTTTGATCTTATCCTCACCTGTGAAGAGAGGGTGTATGACCAGGTGGTGGAAGGTAAGAGCGCAGACGTGGGATCTGCCGCACACCTGTGCTGGGCGAGATGCGGGGCCCTCTGGTCGCCATGGCCTTGCGGCCTCTCTCATCTCAGCTGGACGCACAGCCGCTGTCCTCGGTTCTCCCTTTGCATTGCCCAGCCCACAGCTAGCAAAGGATTTTTTTTTTTTTTTTTTGAGGAAGGTTAGCCCTGAGCTAACATCTGCCGCCAATCCTCCTCTTTTTGCTGAGGAAGACTGGCCCTGAGCTAACTTCCATACCCATCTTCCTCTGCTTTACATGTAGGATGCCTACCACAGCATGGCCTGACAAGCAGTGCCGTGTATGCACCCAGGATCCAAACCTGCGAACTCTGGGTCGCCGAAGCAGAATGTGCGAACTTAACCGCTGCACCACCGGCTGGCCCCAGATTTTTTTAAAGATTGGCACCTGAGCTAACATCTGTTGCCAATCTTCTTTTTTTTTTTTATTCTTCTCCCCAAGCCCCCGAGTACCTAGTTGTATATTCTAGTTGTGAGTGCCTGTGCTTGTGCTGTGTGGGACACTGCCTCAGCATGGCCTGATGAGTGGTGCCATGTCGACACCCAGGGTCCAAACCAGCAAAACCCTGGGCCTCCAAAGCTGGGTGCACAAACTTAACCACTCGGCCACAGGGTGGCCCCTAGCAAAAGATTTTTGAAGCATCTGTGGGCTCCTCTGGGCAGGGGAAAGTGGGCAGGGCTGTAGCGAGGTGGACGGAGGGCCTGGCCCCTAGGCTGCGGCCCAGCTGTGGAGATTGTGGCCTTCTGGCTGATCATGTTCATCAGAGCAAAGCCACTTGTGTGCTGGCCAACAGCACCCTACAGGTTTCATGGAGGAGCTGGGCCCTGCCTTTCAGGTGTGAAAGTGCTGTGGGATGCTTTACCGCAGGATGGGCTGGATGTTTGAGGGTGAGGCAGGCAGCCTGGTGTTGAGGTTGGTGATCACATTTCCTCGAGTCACAGATATACTGGGGGCGAGGCTCCTCCAGCGGGGCGGGTACTCGGGCCCGGTCTGATGCTTCCTCCTCAATTGAATTCCCCAAAGGCCAGGGGCAAGAAGAGCGGGTGAGGCACTCACCCTCCTGTGCCCTGGCTCTGAGGCCTCTGGCCCCCGTGTCCTTTTGTCCTGGTTAGATCTGAATTCCAGAGAGCAGGAGACCTGCCAGCCGGTGCACGTGATCAACGTGGACATCCAGGACAACCATGAAGAGGCCACCCTGGGGGCGTTCCTCATCTGTGAGCTCTGCCAGTGTGTGAGTAGCCAGTGCTCCTGCTCCTGTCCCCTGCTCTGGGCTGGGCCAGGGGTGCGTGAGAAACCCTGGGAGCCTTTATGTGCTCTGGGTCAAGAGTCCAGGTCTGCCTGGCCTGGGGCCCCAAGCAGCAGTCCCTGCCAGAGGGAGATGACTATGACCATCCCCTCCACACAAGGGTTTCACCATGAAAGTGACTGTCACACAATTTGATTCTCGTTCAGTTCATTTTCAAATGTTAAAACTCAAGTAAATGCAGAGGTGTCCACAAGTCTGAGAACCGACTAAAGCACCTTGTGCTTTTTGTTAAGTTGATGGAAGGGGTGCAGGAATCTGTTCAACATCTGGCTTTCATCAAGATGGCCATGTCTGTCCACCAAGAGCTTACAGGACACAGGCCCCTGCCAAAACCCCAGAAATGTCTAACGGAGCCTGGGGCCTCAGAGACAGATTCAAAGGGCTCGTGGGCACTCTGCCTTCTCCTCTTCACCCTCAGGACTGGTTGTTGCAGATATCTGGCCCTCCCCACATGGCCCTGGGCATCCTCCCTTGTGAGAAAACCCCATGGGCTCGTGCAGCCACTGTGCAGCTGTGCTTGGAGCAAAACATGTCCTCTCAGGTGTGACAAAAGGACCTACCCAAGGGGAAACCCACATGCCTTGTCCTGTTTTCTACCCATGGGATCTGTGTTTAGGTCAATTGACTGTGAGTGACAGAACAATGAGGAAAAGAAGTGGCTTAACCAGGAAGTCTGTAGATAGGCAGACGTGGTTTGGTTGTTGTGTGAGGGACCCAGGCCCCTGCTCTCTTGTTGCTCCACCCAGCACAGCTTATGTTTCCAACATGAGTCATGGTCCATTGTGGCTGCTGAAGCTCCAGCAATTGTGCCCATGATCCAGCCATCATGCAAGAAAAAGGGCTGAAGGGGAAGACATGCCCTAGAAGTTGCACATGTGACTTCCACTTGGGTCACATTGATGAGAGCCAAGTTATGGAGGGGCCACTCTCCACTTCAGAGAGGCACTGCTTGTAGAACGAGATAGGGGCAGCCAGCAGCCTTGGCGTGGTGTAGCCCATGCCAGGGCAGGTGTGCTCAGGAGCCAGCCCTGGGCCAACCCGGGGCTGTAGCCCCACCTTTTAGGGCAGGGGTTCTCCACCAGGGCGTATCTGCCACATCTGCACACATTTGTGGGTCTCACACCTGCAAAGGACACTAGTGGCAGCTGGTGGGTGGAGGCCACAGATGCTGCTCAACACCCTACAGTGCCCAGGGTCGCCCCCCGCAGAGCACTGGCTGGCTTCACCAGGTGACTTGGGGCAAGTGAATCCCTTCTGTGTCCCGGCTGCTCATTTGCAAAGTGGGGACGGGCCGGGCAGTGAGGGTTCATCCAAGAACAGGCCCTGCTGCAGCCGCTCTGTGCCCAGCCCCCATCCCTGTCGGGTTCCTCCAGGGGAGGGCCACCGCCGCCCTGGGAACCCTGTCCTCAGGTTCCCTCCCTCCCCTAGGCGGGTGGGAATGAGTCCCCACATCACTGGTCAGCACTGGGACAGGCCAGAGGCGGCTTGTGTGCAGCCCTCCCTTCTGGGCACTGGGGCTGGTCGGGGCCTGGGGTCCCCCTGGGTCCCCCGAGTGGTCCAGGCGTCCGTAAGAAGGCACGCAGCTGGGGCAGGAGGCTTGTGTGCTCACGTGTGCCCGCCCAGCTCTGCTCCCGCTCAGGCAGCCTCTCTGTTCTTTCCAGATTCAGCACACGGAGGACATGGAGAACGAGATCGACGAGCTGCTGCAGGAGTTCGAAGAGAAGAGCGGCAGGGCCTTCCTGCACACCGTCTGCTTCTACTGACCTCCCAAAGCCACCTTTCGGAGCCTCCTTCCTTTTGTTAATACTTGTTCCTTCCTCACATTGTTTTTACTTGTAGCTGTTCTGCTGGGACGGTGGTAGTGCCCCATGAACTGTACATATGAAATGAGAAGAGACACGTGAATGCCAGATCAAAAACAATCAAGTTTTCTATCCCACTTGTACTTGTGAGTGGGATATTGATTATAAAGTTTTTTTCTTTAACCAAAAAAGAAAGAGACGGTTTACAGTGCGTTTCCCCGCTACGTCTGTCTTTCCTTGTGCGTTCCTTCCCCTCGCGCCTGACTGGCTGGAATGTACAAATACCTGAATAAAGCAACGGGCTGCATTTTCTTAGGAAAGAACCTGCAATTGTCCAATAAATAGATGCTGCTGCTGGACGTCCTTGCTTTCTCCTGAGCCCCCACCTGGCCCACCCCTGCCGGCCAGTGCAGGTCCTCTGGAGGGGGCGGAGGTGGGTGCCAGACACACTCCCTCAGGAGCAGGGGGCCTGGCCCTGCCCCGAGCCCCCTTTGGAAAGGGGGGGCTTGGTGACCACAGTCCAGGGCTATGGGTCCAGCCTAGCTGCCAAGCACAACCCCGAGGTCCTCAAACGGCCTTCTCCCTGTGGCACCTGCTCCTGGGGCTGGGATCCGTTGCCCCTGGTGTCATCTGTCCCCCAAGGGGCCTTACTTCCTGGTGACCCCTCCTGGTTTCTGCAGCCGTGGGAAATCTCAGGTCCCTGGTGGGAAAGTAACGGGGGCTCCTGTGCAGGCAGTGTGGTCCATGTCGGTGTTGGCCATTCTGTCCCTGGGATGTGGACGCGGGCTTGGCTCAGGGGCTGCTCCCCAGGGCCCCAGCATCATGGGGCAGCCAGAGCAGGGCCATGGATGCTGGCCTCTGGGCTTCCAGGTTGACCAATCCAGATGCCTGGGGCTGGCCCCTAGGGAAGCTGGGGCTCAGCTGGTCCTGCCCCCACTGTGGGACATCTTTTGGCCTTTGCTGGGCTCCGTCCTCAGGCCACATGCCCATGGCTTTGGAGTGACCTCCCTGACAGCTCCTCAGCAGCCCTACAGGCCCCTCCACTAAAAGCAGTAACTTGCTGGAGCGAGGCACTGCCCAGCCTGCCTGCAGCCCCTCACTCCTCGGCCGCAGGGGTCCGGGAGAGGGGCCTTATGCTGGGAAATGGGAGAGGAAGAACCAGGAGCCCCAGGGGCCTCTCCAGGACTGCCCCGTGGGGTCCGGACGTAACCCTCGGTCCAGGGGCGCTGGGCAGGCGACCAGGACCGGAGTGGCCAGACGGGCGAGACCTGGCCCTGCGATCCCCGGGTTGGGGTACGGCGGCGTCGCCGGGGCGGGGCGGCCGCGGGTGGCGAGGTCCCTCCCAGGAGGCGGGCGCGGAGGGAGGAGGCTGGAGCCGGAGCCGCGCGCAGGGAGGAGGGAGGGGGGAGAGGGGAGGAGGGCCGAGGGCGGAGCGGTGCGCGGCGAGCGCGGCGGCCGGGCGGCCGAGCGACCCCAGGAGCGGCCGCGTTCCCTGACCGCGCCCCGCCCCGTGCCCCCTCCCCGGCCGGCGGCGGTGGGTGCGCAGCAGGCTGACCTCTGCGGAGGCGGCGGGGGCTCAGCATCGGGCCGGGGCCGGGGGGGCGCCGGGGCCGGGGGGCGGCGCTCCGGCCCGACCCGGCCCCGCCCGATGTCCATGAGCGCGAACACCATGATCTTCATGATTCTGGGGGCGTCGATCGTGATGGTGAGCGGAGGGGCTTCCCGCGCGCCCGCTCCCCTATCCGCTCCCGCCTCCCGCGCCCGCGCACGCCTCCCCCTCCCGGGCCTTGTTTACGGGCCGCGCGGCCTGCGTTCCCCCATGCCCGGCCTGCGCTTCCCCAATCTCCGGCCTGCGCACCCCAAAATCCCGGGTCTGCGCACCCCCTGCCCAGCCTGGGCTCCCCTAAACCTCTGGCCCGCGCTCCCCAGGCCCTGGCTTCCCTTCGCTCGCCCCTCCCCCGGCCTGTGCTCCCCCGTCCCCAGTACGCTATTCTCCCGCCTGGGGACCCCAGCCCGGCCTGCTCCTCGGAGCTGAGCGGTCATGGGCTCTTCCAGGCCATCGCGTGCTTGATGGACATGAACGCGCTGCTGGACCGATTCCACAACTACATCCTCCCGCACCTGCGGGGCGAGGACCGCGTCTGCCACTGCAACTGTGGCCGGTGAGTCCGTGCCCGGCGGGGTACACGCGTGATCACATATGTGCAGCCATGTCAGGGCCCACTGGGGCTCAGGTGAGCCCCATGCAGGCCAGGCATAGGGCCGCACCAGGCCGGTGGGGGCTCCTGAGGCTGGCACCAGGCTCAGTGGGGGAAGGACTGTCCAGCTTCCACTTGGGTTCTGGGAGCGAGAAACATGCCTGAGTCAGTTAGGACCCCCTTCCCAAAATGCCTTTAGAGAAAGAGCCCATCAGGGTGATGGGCAGAATGGGCCCCGGGCCTCCTGGAGACCAGGAGAGCAGCAGCCCAGCCCAGCAGCCCAGGAGGGATCCTGTGCGTGGCTGTGCTCAGAGTACACCATCCTCTCCCTGGGTCCGGACAGTGTCCATGAACTTTCCTGGGATCCAGGTACCGGGATGTGCAGAAGGTCAAAGTGAGCCTCGCCCAACCCCCTCATGGTACAGAGGAAGAACTGAGGCAAGGGGGGGTGGAGCTTGCTCAAGGTCACTCAGAGAATAAGAGGAGAACCCAGGCCCCCTACGCCCACTGTGTGATCCCCCCATTCTGTGCACATGCAGTGATGGAGTCTTTCTGGCCATGCATGTTTGTACGTCCATGTACGAAATAAACATCTTCTCATGAGACGCGCATGTGTGTACCGTCTGTGCATATACATGTGCGTACACATAGCGCACGCGCAGGTTCGCATGCACACCCTCATCCCCACAGGACGCCCTCATGCTGGGACCAGTGAGAAGATAGACAGTGGCTTGAGCAGCAGAGACTCACCCAAGGTCACACAGCTAGCAAGGGACTGGGGGCACGAATCTGTGTTCTTTATCTCTGCCCGTACTCCTGCTGCAGGGACGTGTGTGCACACGTAGTGGGCGTGGGGAGTGTGTGTGAGACAGGACAGTTTCATGCCTCATTAAGCATGCTCCATGCCTATGGGTGCAGACTCATGTGTCGAAGCCGAACATGAACATGGGCATTAGCGCAGGTAGCGATGAGTGTAAAGGACCCTCAGGTGTGCTGGCCGACAGGCATCAAGAAGGCTTGCCAGGTGGCCACACTTTCCCAGAGATCCCTGCACTCCTGCCTGGTGCATGCCGCCGGAGCTGAAGGAGGGGCCTGAGGTCAGCTCCACAGCCTCCTAGGCAGCAATGACCCAGAGGCTGTAAAGTGGGGTGATCCTGAGACCCTCCTGGAGACTGGTGGTGTGCATGACACTGGGCCCAGACTCTGAGCTCCGTAAACATTAGTAATGCACATTGTACATGTGTGTGGGCTGTTGTATTGTGACCAGCATGTGTGTGCCCGCGACCTCACACCACGTGCCCATCTGAGCAGACAGGGTGTGTTTTCAGAGTGTATTTGCACAGAGTGTGTGTATGGGTCACATTGTGTGTCCAGAGTACATGTGGACTCATGTGAAACAAGCATCTAGAGAATGCAGGCTGGAGCTGGGCCTGCGTGCACAGGTTAGTGGTTACTGTGTCTGTGGATGCAGAAAACATGGAGAGCCACGCTTACCATAGACAGAGTGTTTCTGCGTGTGTGTATGTGTCCACACGTGTGTGCTTTGTACACGTCACTACATACAGGATATGTAAATTCGGTGTACAAAGTCTTCTTGTATATTGAAATGTGTACGCACAGCACACGTATATAGTGAATATGCATTAAAGAGTGTGCTCCACTTGGGTGTAGTGAATGTGTCTGCAGAGTAGTTTTGCACATGAGGTATCCATGTGTAGACCATGTACGTGCATTGCACAATGGATTCTACCCATGTGTGTACACACCGTGTGCAGAATACTCATGCATACATGCATACATGTATGCCTTCTACATGCCTACATGGAGAATTTCATACATACACCATGTATGTAAATTAATGCTCTAAAGCATGTGTGGCAGCAGGTGGTGTCTGTGCGCACACAAACCCATGCATATGCCGTGGCACCCACAGAGAGGATGGTGTGTGCAAAGCATCTACATGTGATACACACCATGTTGGTGCTGGGCAAGCATGCACATGCACACGTGCAGCTTGTGGGACCAAGTCCGTGGTATACACGCCATGTCCTGTGCATGTGGCCGGCGTGTATACACGACATGCGTCGGATCTCAGGTAGACACATGCAGCATGTGCGGCCCAGGCAGGACACATGTATGTACACATCATAGAAATACGTGTGCACACGGGAGATCTGAGCCCCCACCCCCCAGGGGCCTGATTTGGAGGAAGGAAGAGGGCAAGGGTCAAGGGAAGTGCTGCAGGTGCCAGGCCAGTGATGGGGGCACAGGTCATGCCCTCTGACCGCCCAGAGGTCCTGAGCCACTGGGGTGGTTGGGTCTCTGGCCTCATCCTACTTGCAATGCGCCAGGGGAATTTCTGGCTTCCTTGGTGACTCGATCTTCAAGTTTCCTGCCTTGACCAGCTGTGTGTCCTGGGGCGGGAAGCTGGTCCTGAGGAAGACCCTGTCAGGGCTCCTGGGCCCAGAAGGCTGGGGAGGGCAGGAGATGGTGGTGATGCTATGTTATCAACCCCCAAGAGGCCTGTCCTGGCATGGTGTGCCCGGGTGACAGGGATTGCCAACAGGTCACGAAGGGCATCCTCCCCTGGGGGGCCGGAAGCTGCCACACATTCTGGGTGGTGATCAATAGTTTTCCATCACTTATTGATGACCGATAGTGGCTATTGATGGATTGTGATCAGAAGAGCAACGGCTGCCAGATGTCAGGCACTTCTTGCTGACTGTTCCAGGGCTGATGACCCCTGCTCCATGGGCCTGTGACTGAGGCCCCACTCACCATCCATGGGGACTGGTCACACTCTGGACGTGCTGAGCAGGATGGCCTCCAGGGTCCCCAGGAGGAGCAGGACAGGGTGTGAGGAGAGCCCAGCCTGCTGCTGTCCCTGCTGGGCTGGGTTGGGGCTCCAGGACCCCCTGACCCCGCTGGGAGGAAGGCACTGTGTGGTCCCTCCTGGCACAGGGACATCAGTGAGGGAGGGACAGCAGGTGCCCGGGGTCAGGGAGGACTCGTGGGGTTTCCCGTTTTGAGAAGATTCCTCTGGGGCAGAAGTGCAGCATGACCGGTGGCAAGGGGGAGTGAGGGGGTCAGGCCCTATCTCGGCTGAAGACCAGGCGGAGGTGTCACCATCTAACTGAGGGGAAGTTGAGGAGGAGCAGGTTTGGGGAGGGAGGAGCTATTTTTAGGTGCGAGTTTGAGGTGTCTATAGATCCCACGTGGAGACGCCACGCAGGCAGCTGGAGCTCAGAGCAGACGTGATGGGCGGCAGGGACTTGGGGGTGGAGTGGGGAATGCAGAGTTGGAGAAGTCGGTGAAGGGGCTTGGAGAGGAGAGGAAACCAGGAGAGGTGGCCCCCTGGGCAAGAGGACCCCAGGGTGGTCTGGGCAAGAGGAGGTGCTGCAGCCTGGAGGCTGAGAGTGCATGGACCTCGTGGTGCCTTGGGCGCCAGGGCCGGCAGCTCCCTCTCCAGGGCTCTCCTGTGGGCAGGGGGTGGGGGGCCCACAGTCTGTTGTCCTGGGTGCTGGGCTCCTGGGCAGGGCCACCCCAGCTGGGATCACCAGGCCCAGAGGGCTCCCCGGAGGAAGAAGGGATCCAGGTAGGCCTGAGGCTGGAGGAAGCCTTGTGGGGAGGGTTCATTGTGGCCCTCAGAGGCAAATGAGGGCCTGGAGGGTTCAGTGGCCTGAGCCTGGACAGTTGAGGGCATGGCTCAGGCACTGGGGGGTGCTAGGACCCAGGGGAGGGGCCACGGTCCTCGTGGTCCTGGACAGCTGGACATCGTCCATCCCAGGAGCAGCAGAGCAGGTGGCAGACATGTGGATCTGTGAAGGGCATGGGCAAGGGAGCACACCCAGGAGAGGGAGTGAGAGGATGGGGCACAGGGCAGAGCCTCCAGGTCTCCAGCACAGAGAATCAGGGCAGGGGGCACCTGTGAGGGCCACAGGAGCAGAAGGAAACCAGAGGCCCGGGGCAGAGCTGATCCCACGTGAATTTCCGTGGAGGGGATGCTGGGGAAAAGGTGCAGGGAATGTCGGGTGGGAGGGAGAAGCCAGAGGGCGTCCCCGAGGAACCAGCAGGTGCACTGCGACCCTGCCACCGGACCAGGACACCCTGCCCTGGGCCCTCACCCTGGAAGGATTCGTCCACCTGCACTGTGTTCCTGTGACCCGTCAGGGTCGCCTCTGAGCCCCAGGCGGGGCAGAGGAGGGAGGAGGGTGATGCCTGGGCTGAGACACAGCCAAGGCCGGCCCCGAACTTCTCTCTGACCGCTGACCTCGCAAACGCCCACCAACTGGGCAGCCTCACGCCCGATAACCCGGGTCCAGGCCAAGTCCGCTGGCCCTGCCCGACCTCAGCCCCAGAAGGGCTGATGCAAGGATCCCGGCGGGCGAGCGGGTGCCCTTACCGCGGGGGACCCGCCCGCCCTGCCGCCCCCAGGCACCACATCCACTACGTGATCCCATACGACGGGGACCAGTCGGTGGTGGACGCTTCCGAGAACTACTTCGTGACGGACAACGTCACCAAGCAGGAGATCGACCTCATGCTGGGGCTGCTGCTTGGCTTCTGCATCAGCTGGTTCCTGGTGTGGATGGACGGCGTCCTGCACTGCGCCGTGCGCGCCTGGAGGGCGGGCAGGCGCTACGGTGAGCGGGGGACAAGCGCGGCCAGCAGCCGGGCGGGAGAGCCTGACCTCCAGCGCCCGGACCACACCCCTGGCCATGCCCCGCCCCCGGCCCTATTCCTACCGGAAGACCACACCCATCCTGGCCCCCGCCCCCCTCCCCGCTCCTCCCCTGACCGCCCCATCATGGCCCCGCCCCGCCCCCGGCCGTATTAATACAAGACCCCGCCCTGACCCCGCCCACACAGCCCTCGCCGGACAGCGCCTTTACTGGGCCCACTCCCCACCCCTCCAGCCGTGGCCCCGGCCCCGCCCCTGGCTGCCCCACCCCTCCAGTCCTGGCCCCGCCCCCGGTCCCTGACCACGCCCCCACCCCCGCAGACGGCTCGTGGACCTGGCTGCCCAAGCTGTGCAGCCTGCGGGAGCTGGGCCGGCGGCCACACAGGCCCTTCGAAGAGGCGGCGGGGAACATGGTGCACGTGAAGCAGAAACTCTACCACAACGGCCACCCGAGCCCGCGGCACCTCTGAGCCGCGCAGGACTCGTGGGGCCGCCGGCCACCGCGCCCACCTACACGGGACTGGACGGCCGCCCCGGGCCAGGGCGCCCGCGGCCGCCGGGCGTGTCCAGCGGAAGGTGCTGTCTCCTCTTCTTTTTATAAAGGGGTCGGGGTGGGGCCGGGGGGGCCGCCGGTCTCAGGGGCCGGGGCGGCGTGCCCGGAGGGGGCGGTTGGGCCACCGGCTCCCTGCGGTCCTGCCTGCGCCCAGCCTGGGACCACGACTGCTACTTCAAACCGGCTGTGCGCCCGTCCGCGCGTCCGGCTCCGGAGCCGGTTCTGCCGGCGGGGAGCGAGGCCGGGAAAGGGTCTTGGCCGGGAAGGGGCCGGAGCCCGGCCGCACCCCACGCCTGCACCCGGGCGTCCGCGGGCCGCAGTGGGGAGCAGGGCAGGGCAGGGGTCTGGGGGAGGCCCCGGCCCAGCAGCAATAAGGTCCCTGAGCCCCGCTGTGGCGAGTGCGGCCATCCTGCCCAGGGCATCCCCGGTCGGGCGCCTCACTGTGACCCCTACCCTTGCTGGTCAGTAAACTCTCCAGAAAGCTCCAGCCTCTGACTCTTCCTTCACGTCTGACCCCGTGACCCTTCGCATCAGCAGACATACAGACTCTGTGAGGTAGCATGTCAAGAGTTTTTATTAGAGTCTGGATTAAAAAACTCGACTCCAGTTGAGGGAGAGCTGTGGCTCCTCTGGGCCAGGGCAGTTCTCCAGCACTGGACGTCCCTGCCAACAGTGCCAGGAGTGGCTCCCTGGGCTTGTCACAGTCACAGACGTATGCAGGGCACCCCTTCTCCCGAGTACAGTAGTGAGCAGCACAGGGGCCTGCTCTGCTCACCCCTTGCTCAGTTCTGGTCCTGGGTGGGACTGGGCAAAGTGAGGCCCCCACCCATGCTGGCCCTCCTTCTGCCAGGGCCCCTACTGCTGGTCACGGCTGCAGCAGCCCGCCATGGGGGTGGGGGGCAGTGCCTTCTCCGCAGCTTTGGGCCAGGCTCAGGTGTGGGGGGCAGGTGGCCCCAGCCTGACCCTTCCCAGACAGCACCACAGCCTGGAGGGGGCAGAAGGGGGTGCCGCCCACAAAGACAGCACAGCTGCAGCTGGTCCTGAGCAGAGGCCTTTAACATGCTGTTCTGGCTCTCACCACAGGAACGTTAAAAACGCCGGGGAGGTGGGTGGCCGCCCAGCAACCCCTGGCTTCCGGGAGACGTGGGTGCCTTGGTGCTGGTGCTTCCTTTTGGCGACACCACATGGCCAGTGTGCCCCAGGTGTCCAGGCCCAGCTCACTCGGCCCGTGCACTCAGGAGCAGGGTCTGGCTGCCCTCAAGCCCAGCTCTCTCAGCCTTCAGCCACTGCATCTTCTGCTGGTGCTGCTGGATGGCATCCTGGACCCGGGCATCCATCATGGCCTCGGTGAGGACCCCGTCCTCAGAGGCGTATGCCATGGCCTAGTAGGGAAAGAGTGCTGAAGGAGAGCACCAGAGGGGCTGCCTGTACAGAAAAGGGTCCCCCAGCCTCAGGCTTTTGGGGCCCACCCTGTAGGGAAGACCCCCATCACTGCCACCTGCTCCCCCCAGGCCCCATGAGCCCGTTTCCTGGAGATGCCCTCCAGAACCAGAAGCCCCTGCGGGGGGGGAAGGTGGCATGAAGCCTGGGACTCCGAGTCCACCAGAGGGATGGCCGACCAGCACACACGTGTGGTCATAGGCAAATCCACAGCCCAGAGTGGCTGCCATCCCTGCAATGTTCATGGCCCTGCCTGTGTCCTGGCCAGCACCAGGCTGCCTTCTTGCCCTGTAAGGTTTCAAGGACTTTCTAAAAGCAGAAAGCCTGAGGCCAGCAGTCAAGAAGCAGCCCAGCACCGCCCATCCCACCCCCTTGGACCAGGAGGGCCCTGCCTTTATGGGCCAGGGCAGAGAAAGCAGACAGACCAGAGGCCATTCGGGGGTAGGTCCATTCTGACACGGAGGGCAGGGACCCAGGCTGAGAGCTCCCCAGGAGTGCCAGCAATACTGACTGGGTCAGACAGTGGACCTGCCACGCCAGACTGCCCCTGAACACGTACCACCTGCCCTCCACCAGGAACTGCCTCTCACAGGGCCCCCACCGTCTGCAAAGTCCTCCCAGAACCGTGGGGGGCTGAAAGCCAGGCCCTGCCTAGGAATCCCAGCCCCGAACTTGGGCGGGCATATGGGTGGAGGTGCCTAAGTTTTACTAATCAGGCCCCGTACTGTCCACATCTCCTTGGCTGCCAGGCACGTCACCTGTGGCCAGGCCACCACTCCTCCCAGATGACCCAGTGCCCCACGTAATTCCTGTCACTCAGCCTATCACTCTGACAGAGGCTGGACAGCACCCAGGGTCCACCAAGCGGGGGGCCTAAGCCAGGCCTAAGTGACCTAAGCGGCCTCGGCCCATGGTGGGCACTGTGAAGGGGTTCCCACCATCTAAGATAAGTCAGCTGCTTTGCTCACACAGACTGGCCCCGTCCTCAGGACATGGCCGTCCTCAGTGCTGGCCAAGGCCGTGGAGAGAGGGCTGCCCTGCCGCCTCCTGCGAGGAGCACGTGGCTCTGAAAAACAGCGGGGAGGGGCCCCCACAGGTAGCACCCAGCAGAGGGGCCCGTGTGGGTCAGGGTCTGGGCTTTCCTGGCAGAGAGGGGTGGGTAGATGGAATGCAGCTGCTCCTTCTGGAATCCCAGAGTATTCACAGAGACGTCTACCCGTGGAGGGTAGGGGGTGGACTCAGTCACGCACTTCCAAATACGTTAGGAAAAGGGGGAAAGTAGTGGCTTTGCCAAGGAGAAACCTGGCAGCCACCACCTTAACCAGGTGATCCAGGCCAACATCCCTGCGACATTGTGTGGACAGCAGGTTCCCCCGATATGATATGACTGGAGGAGCACCCGACCTCTGGGGTTTCCCTGAAACCCACAGTCTAATCATGAGGATAACATGAAACAAACCCAGAGGGACATTCTACATGACACCTGACCAGCAGTCCTCAAAACTGCCAGGATCATAAAAACAAGGGACATGTGAGGAACTGTCATAGCCTGGAGCAGCCTGCAGAGAGGCCGTGACTCAGTGTCATGGGGTGTCCTGGGTGGGCTCCTGGGGCCAGATCAAGCCCAAGGGAGAGTCAGTGGTGATGTGGCAAATGTGCCTTGGGGTGAGATGTTCACAGCATGGCAAGGGAGGAAGAGCGGTGCGTGAGAGCTCCCTGTGCCAGCACTGCACGTTTCCTGGGAACTGAAACGATTTAAAAATATTTTAAAATTTTATTAAAAAAAAAAGCAAGCCCTGGACCTGATGGCTTCACTGGTGAATTCTACCAAATGCTTTAATAAGAATTAAAACCAGACCTTCTCAAACTCTTCCAAAAAACTGAACAGGAACACTTCCTAACTCATCTATAAGCAAAACCCTGATACCAAAACCAGACAAAACACCACAAGGAAACTACAAGTCAATACCCCTATGGACACTGACCCAACAAAATACTTTAGCCATGCAAATTCAGCAGCATATGAAGAGGACTACACACCACGACCAGGTGGGATTTATTCTTGGAATGCAAGGATGGTTCCACACAGGAAAATCAGTCAGTGGAATACATCACACTAACAGAACGAAGGACAAAATCACACAATCATCTCAACTGATGCAGAAAAAGCATTTGGCAAAATTCATGATGAAAACATTCAATAAACTAGGAATAGAAGGAAATTTCCTCAACATGATAAAGACCATATATATGAAAACCCCATAGCAAATATCATCCCTATGGTGAGAGACTGAAAGCTTTTCCTCCAAGATCAGGAACAAGACAAGGTTGCCCACTCTCACTCCTATTCAACAGAGGACCTGAAGTTCTAGCCAGAGCAGTTAGGCAAGAAAAAGAAATAAAGGCATCCACAGTGGAAAGGAAGAAGTAAAGTTATCTGTTTGGAGATGATATGATTCGATATGTAGTAAATCCTAAAGACTTCCTCCAAAAATGTTAGAAGTAATACATTAAGCAAAGTCGTGAATAGAAAATTAACACACAAAAATCACTTATGTTTCTATATAGTAACAATGAACAATCCAGAAAGGAAATTAAGAAAACAATTTCATTTCCAATAGCATCAAAAAGAATAAAATACTTAGAAATTAACTAAGGAGGTGAAAGACTTGTATGCTGAAAACTACAAAATATTGCTGAAAGAAATTAAAGATACTAAAATACAGAAAGATGTCTGTGTGCATACACTGGAGACTTAATATTGTTATGATGTCAATACTACCCAAAGCAATCTACAGACTCAATGCAATCCCTAGCAAAATTTCAATGATTTTTTGGGGGCAGAAATAGAAAACTCCATCCCAAAATTCACAAGGAACCTCAAGGGACCCTAAATAGCCAAAATAATCTAGAAAAAGACCAGAGTTGGAGATCTCACACTTCCTGATTTCAAAACTTACCACAAAGCTACAGTAATCAAATCAGTGTGGCACTGGCATAAAGACAGACATACAGACCACTGGAACAGAATACAGAGCCCACAAATAAACCCTCACACACATGGTTTCCAGCAAGGGTGCCAAGACCCATCAGTGGGGAAAGGACAGTATTTTCAACAAACGGTGCTGGGAAAACTGGATGTCCATGTGCAAATGAATGAAACTAGACTCCTACCTCACACCACGTACAAAAATGAACTCAAAATGGATCACATACCTAAGTGTAACACTTCAAACTATAAAACCCCTAGAAGAAAACACGGGAAAAGCTTCCAGACACTGGATTTGGCAAGGATTTCTTGGCTACGACACCAAAAGCACGGAGGAAAAAAATAGATAAATTGCAATTCATCAAAATTAAAAACTTTTGTGCATCAAAGGAAACTAAAAAAGGCAACTCACAGAATGGGAGAAAATATTTGCAAATCATGTCTGATAAAGGATCAATGTCCAGAATATATAAAGAATGCGTAAAACTCAACAACAAAAAACAACCCAACTCAAAAATGGGCAAAGGACTTGAATAGACATTTCTCCAAGAAGACATACCATGGCCAGTAAGCCCGTGAAAAGATGCTCAGCATCACTGACCATCAGGGGAACACAATCAAAACTGCAATGAGACACAATCTCACACCCACCAGAATGGCCACTGTTCAGCAAGTATAAAACAACACACGTTAGGGAGGATGTGAGAAAGTGGACCCTTGTGCGTTGCTGGTGGGAATGTAAAATGGCGCAGCCACTGTGGAAAGCACTATGGCAGTTCCTCAAAAAACTAAACATAGAATTACCAAATGACCCAGCAGTCCTACTTCTGGTTACATATTCAAAGGAACTGAAAGCAGGGTCTTGAAGAGATACTCGTATACCCACGTCATAGCAGGGTTATTCACAATCACCAAAAGGTGGAAGCAACACAGGTATCCATCAACGGATGAAGGGATTAACAAAATGTGATATATCCACACAACAGATTATTGTTCAGCCTTAAAAAAGGAAGGAATTCTGACACATGCTACATGGATAGACCTTGAGAACATTATGC